GAATTTGGTCTTAAATTTTTATTTCAAGTGGCATTAAAAAGTCTTAAAAAGTCTTGAATTTAACTTGCCTTAATCTGTAGGAACCCTGATCATTATGAAAAGCATACTGATTGAGAAGTTGCACTTTATATCATAATTCTGTTCTTAGCTATGTGAAATATTTCTTTTTTTTTTTTAGAGCATTTTTCTATCTTATTCAATGCCTCATATGTAAAGTTTATAGATGTTAACATTTGTTTTCAAGACAAGTAGGTCTAGACCATAGTATATCCAATGCATGGCTGCCATGCTATACTAATGGAAATGCTTGCGTAAGCCACTAATTTCCCTTGAACTATTTAAGCTTTGTGTGTTGCTGTTGCTCTTTGAAATGTTGCCACTAGTCATTAATGGAGTTGTCAGAACTCTCTTACCTATATGGCTCTGGTTTTAGTGTTCACTCCATTAAAAAAAGCAAGATCTCATGTTATATCCAGAGCACAATAAAAAAAAAACTCAGAGCAAAAGAGGCTGCTTAAGCTTGCGTGCACATATTAATAGAAAATTAAGTGGAAAGAAAAAATGTGGTTTAATATAATTTGAGTTTAGCATATGCCACAGATGAATCACACACAGTATATATTAAGTGTCTCATCCGAGCCAACGAGAAGGACTCAAACTCCTCTTTACAGATAAAAGTGGAATGTGGAAATCAGAGTCCTGGGGTTTTGATGAAGGCAAGAGAGACACAGATTTCAGGTTTCACCAAGTTCCAGTGGTGATTTAATAAGTCCTGTCATTGGCTTGTGTTGATTCACTGTGTGTTATCAAGTCTAAAGGTCTGGCAGTGACCTGTCACTCTGCATTGATTCTACAGTAATTCACCCTAAATGAACCCAAAACAAGTACTGAGAGCGTATAATGTGCAATAAATGGACTTACTTTTCAGTAAGCCAACATTTTATCTTTAAAAACCTCTTTGTATTAACAGATATCAATAACTTAAATAGAAAACTCTGTTGGTAATGTCTATTTGTACACTACACTTTAGTATGACAACTGAAAAGAATATTTCTTTAATGATTCATGTAGACCTACAAAAAATACTTCTAATAATATTCTAGTACTCCATAAAAATATTGCAACATGCCTCTTAATCCATCTGTGGACTTTGCTAACAAGCAAATATCAGGCTATCAGGTTCATGTTACATAAGAACAAATTAATCAGTTAGGTGCAAAGTCTTTCTGCCAATTAAAATGTCAATTATTTGTAACCTTAGTTTATATCAGTGTGAGGTCAGGTGCAGTTTGTACCTGGAAGGATGCATCTCATTGATTCAAAGGCTGTTACTCTGATGCCACACCTCTGAACAATAAACACTAATTGCTCAATGAGTTGCACCTGGAAGTGGCCATTGTTGACAGCAAGCTGCAAGAGTATAAAAAATGGAGATGGAACATTCTAAGCTACAGGACAGAGAGTTTTCTCAGGTCTGTATCCAATCTTGTCTTTAGCAACTGCTGAAGCCATGGGGCCAAGACTGTTTCTGAGGTATGGTTCATTGCATGTTGTTTTTCAGTACTTGCCTTAATGATTCTAAAGGAAGTCTTATTTGCAGCGTTGCCTGGATTTCTTTGTTGTTGGCTTGGACCCTCTTCAAAGAGGCAGAAGGTAAGCTTTAACTTCAACATACTGAAATGTTGTATGTAATCTTTTTATTTTAAAATATTTTGTCCTTGTTAGCACTCAATGTGGGTCGGAAAACTGGTGCCAAGCTGAACCTTGGAGAAACTTCGGATGACTTTGAAGGCGGTCTGTCTTTTGATGAGGGAGAGCAGAAGCCATCTAAAGTGATAAACAAGGAATACAAGAAGGCTCCACCAGCACAGCCACTGAAGCTGTTCTCAGGCGACCAAAATCTGATCACTAAGCCGCATTCTAACGTGGAGAGAATTGTTGGTGGTGCTTCTAGACAATGGGAGTCCAATGTGTTGGAGCCAATCACTTTTCCTCTGAAATCAGTGGACCAAGCTCAACCCAAGCCACTTTATGAGTCCCAGTCCTCGCCTTTGGTTTATGGAAGCAAAAAGCCTGTCCCACCAAGATATGGCAAGATTACAACTGGAATCCAAAAGGTGAAGCCCAAGCCTGTCCTTCCCTCCAATTTTGCTTTCTTCCCCCCTAGCTTTGAGTCTGTGGTTCCTAGCAGTGGAGTTGGTGATAACGTTGCTGGTTCCACTTCCCAGCAGGGAAACCTTGATTCCACACAGGGTGTTTATTCAACTAATTCTGTCAGTCCTGTATCTCCAACCCCAGAAGAGGAGGATGATGACCAGATCTCCAATCAAGAGTCTAACCTGATAGAATCAGCTGGCAAAGCCCCCATTCAAAAGCAAATTTCTTGGATTTCACCAGCAGTTTCTATTCCTCTTCAAAGTGAATCCAGGCGCACACCGGAGTGGTTTGGACAGAGTAATGAAATTGACGGTTCAACTAATTTTGCTCAACCAACTTTTGCCAGATGGCTATTGCCCATCCAGTCTTCCTTCACTGGTTTCTACTGGCCTATGATGGGTCCTCTAGGTAGATCTCTTCCAGCAAAAGCCACAGACCCACTGAAAGTGCTGTTGCCCCCAAAAGGCTTTGTCATGCATTCAAAGAATCGGTACCAGCGACGAAGGATTCAGAAATCTAAACTGACATACACACCTAACTACCAGATGTCAAAGGGGAAACCTGGCAAGGGAGGACAGAACTCTCACCCCTCCAACGTCTGAAAAATGCAGAGGTTAGTTCCTTTCAGATCCACTCAATATCTTAATAGAATAACTGTCCTAATGTCTACTTTTTTTCTTCTTCTGCAGAATGACTTGCCTCTAAGAATTTGAGAACAATAAACTTTTAAAACTGCTTCATTCTCATGTCCTCTTTATACCTAATTTGCACCAGACTAACTTGTAGTGAAAGTGTCTTACCTTGGCATTGAAATCCTTGTTTCCCAAACCCCCTGCAACAAAGCAAAATTGGCTTTCTGATTAAAGCAGACTATTTGATCTTTATATGCATATAGGTTTCATTCTGCATTGTAGAGAAACTTTAAATCCCATTATTTAAATAAAAAAAAAAAAAGCTCACCATATGAAATCTGTACAGTGACTACAGAACGTCGGTTGCTTGAAGAACCTTGCAGTAAACTTGTGGTTCTTCACTTCGTGCACATTCTTCTGTCTCAAAGCTCCTTTTCGGGCGAATCTATTTCCAACCCCCGCAGAATCGTTGTAATGTAGAAGATGCTCAGCCATTGCGGAGGAGGAAAGTTAAAAAAGCCACAACTTCTCCAGTCCCGAGCGGCTGCGGGTGATGCGCTCCTCTGACTGAGCTTCGGACTGAGCGCTCCTTTCATTCAAAGTGACGCTGCAGAGGAGCCTGCTTTTACGTAGCTTACGTGGGAAATTTCACGTGAAATCACAGAAACCGGCCATGTACTACGCTTCTACTGAAACGTAAGAGCCATATCAGAGGAGCCTGTTATGAAGCTTTTCCTGTAAAGTGAAACATCCTGCCTGCATATAGTAAATATTAGATCTATATGCAGTTTTCTGCAAATTGCACTTTTTGCAGTTTTCTCCTATATTTAGTCTGTTTAGGCTCAAGTTGTATGAGGGGAGCTGACATTCACTTTTAATGCATTAAAGAAATTGGAAAAAGGTTTGCATTAAAAGTGAGCGTTAAAATGTATGTTTATATGGTCTTAAAGGCAACGCCTCCCCTTTTCAGAAGCTCTTCTATTTTAAACTGTAGTTATTGTGCGCCCTCGTGTGGTCATGTCAAACTGCATGTTTCAAATTGTTCATTTAAGGGTGGGATTGGAATATTTTAAGGCTTCTAAAATAGATTCTGTTTAGTAACTTCAAAAGATAAAATTAAGTATTGGCGTTTTTTGGAAAAATGTTTTTTATATATATATTTTCTAGTTGTGAAGCCTAATACAAAATGGTTTCCAAATTTGTAGGATTTTCCTGTGGAATTTTATAGCCAGTTATCTAATTTCAAAACCATATTTTGTTCTGCGTATTTTTGGTCCCAATTACCTCCCAATGATGCCTTCAGTCACTTGTATTTGTTTTACTGGCAAAACTGATTAGATAGAAATGAAAATTCACAATGAATTAAGGAACTTCATGTTAAAGTTATTCAAATAGGACAAACATGCAATCATGACAGCCTCTGCTAATTCAATGAAAAGGTTTGCCACTGGATTTGTGTGTGTATATACAGTGTATATATAGCTCATATTTTTTATTTTTTTTTTTCATGCATGTTTTCCTTTTGAAATGCTTAAAGAGCCACTACAAAAATAACTTGGACCTTTTTATTTTGGACTACCAGGTTAACTTCATTGTCTCTTAATTTCGGACTGTAATCTTGCACTTAAAAAATAAATGTGATTTAAATTAACTTATCCCAATGCCTTAGAAATTTGACTAACTATTTGTTCAATGTATTATATTAAGTATTCTGTTAATTTCAAAGATCTTTGTTTATACCTTACAAAAATCTTTTTTTTTTTTTCCAGAATATTGATTTATTAAATGACAAAATGTTATGGTCATATCATGGATGACATAAACAAAAAGAAGGGCACTACTTAAGCTGTCTTTCTACATTTATTAGAAAGGTGAGTGGAAGGAGAAATTAAAGCCAAACACAACTGGTGTGACAAAACCTCTCACCTGATGTGAAAGGCTTATGTTGTAAAGACACCATAACTGGTCAAATGTTGGATCTCATCAGATAAAAGATGCCAAGAAATTCCTCCCCATACAAGGAAGGTAAAGATATGTTTTTTTTTTTTTTTTCTTGCGAAATCAAGGTATGTCAAACTTGATCTGAAATGCTTGCAGGGTAGTGGATTTATCATAAAGACACTATAATTACAATCAGATCCTGGTATCTGCTTTTGTTTTACCTGCATGCAGGAAGGACCTGTAAATGACACATTAAAAAACTCAAATTCAAAATATTTTTTTTTTAGTTACCTTTATTATTGTGGGTTTATTATACTTAGTTTCCACTTTTCTCATATGCATGTGTAGCACCTTTGAAATAACCAGGCAAGAGTTCCATATTGGTGCCTGAACTTTTGAAGGGTAAAACCTTTGAACTGCATACTTTCCATTCATGGTGTTAAACTTTTGACAAACATAAGAATTTAGACACAGACTAGTTCATAACTTAAATCTCAAGAATTTTTATTCTAAATTTGGGTTTGAAGTCTAGCAGTTTTCTGTGTTTTCTTTACAAAATAGTTGGACTAGGTTTTCTGGTATAGGTGACGGACAAAAAAAAAAAATTGATTAACAATCAATAGTCCCCTAAAGCCTATTTGCTAATATTTCAGCAAAGAAGCACGGTAAACTTCTGACTGCTGGTAAAGAATCCAAAGGCAGATGGAATTTTTCAGTTAACCTAAGGGAAATATTTTGACTAGGGAGGAAAATCATCTATATGGAGAATGTAAAAACTACCAAAAAGATTCTTAAGCAGGTTAGAGTGCAAACAAATTTGCAACTATCTAATTTTCGCTTGGATTAGATGGACTATGTTTAACTACATTTCTTGGAACTATTTATTCTTTATTTCTTTATGGCAACCCTGGAGAAGGATTATGAGGAGGTTGGGGCTGATGGCTTAGGAGAAGAAGAGAGGAATATTAATAACTTCATGTTCTAATAAAGACTTTTGGCTGCACCAAAAAATAATAATAATAATGATAATAAAACAAAAGATAAATAGAATCAACATTATTAACCTGCAAATAAACTCTGTAAATGACACAAAAATTATCAATTTAAAAATAAACTAACAAAATTCAAATGGGTAAAGAAATAAAGAGTAAATAGCTCTAACAGTCTGGTGCCTAATTGTGAAAACTGCCACAATTACAAAAAAAAAAAAAAGGAAAAGAGGCGATTCCATCAAACACATCCTCAATTCCTGAGGGTGATGCTTCCAATAGCAAAAGAGGTTTGGTCAGGAGTCTTTCCAAACGGCTGGTCTTTGCTTTTAATTGCACAGTCTGCACCATCCTGGTTTACACTCAAGACTTTTTTTTAGCTTTGGGATTGATGGGCAATGTTTAACTACATATACTATATATAAACTATATAAATATAACTTTTAATGCTGCTAATAAGGACTCTTTGCTGCATCAAAAATAAATAAAAAATATTAAAACAAAAGATAAAAAGAATCAACAAATATAAACCTGCAAATAAACAATGTAAATAATAAAAAAAATATAAATTAAAGAATAAACTAACCAAATCTAAATTGATACAAAAAATGAAAGAATCAATAGCTCCAACATTGAACGTTTTAGATCTCCATATAATTATAACACTATATTTTGTCTTTTTCTGACGACGATATATTTAATTGAAACGTTGCAAGGAGCTCTTCTACTTTTTATTCATTTTAGTATTAATTCATATTTTCTACTTTACAATTTGCCAATTTCCAAACACAAAAAAAAATCTGAACACAGAACTTTAATTAACCCATCACGGATTCAACACTTAACGTGTAAATTAGTTCTTTCTCGCTTTAATAAAGAAAACATATAAATGGTCTGCAATTTTAAATTCTGAATAAAACGTTGAATAAAATGTAATAAAGGGAAAATATATTGGAGTGATATCTATTACACATCTGCAAGCAGTTGAAGGGGAGGGGGGCTGTCTCCACGGAAACGGATGTGTCGTAAACTGATGGACGCTTAAAGTTTGAAGCAGTTTGAGCGGCTAAATCTGTGCTCAGGTAATCCCCCTTTCACGTAGCAGGTTATGTTCTTGCACGTTTTAGAAACAGCCCATTAGTTTACTAAAGAAAACGAGATACAAATGATACAAGAGGAGGCGACAAACAGCCAAACAGCTCGGCTTTAGCTTGGCTAACTTTAAAGCTAATCGCTGTCAGCACTTAGCACCGCTGTATGCTAAAACGAGTTGTCATGGCAACACGACGTGTGTCTGGGTCTTATCGTTTGATCTACAGTGGATGTTTATTTTGGAGACAGGTTTCAAACAAGGACGTGAAACTATCTAGCGTTCTTTGATCTTATTTTTTATTTTATTTTCCTTAATCCCTGTCAGGTCACCATGAGCAAACATGAAGACTTGTGGGAGAGGCTTGACACGGAGTTTGATCATTTGCTCCTAGACATGAAACCGTTTGTTCTCAAGCATCCCAGCAAAACAGGTGAGATTTCATCCCAGCTGCACTAACAGCAAAACACAGCAGAAAATAGCACCTCTGTTGTCTTTTGCAAAATGCGTGGTTTTCAACATACAGAAAAGGCTTAAGCATTTCACTGCAACCAATTTCACTGCCTTAAATCATATTGATATAATAAAAAAAATATGCCAAACTTAAAATATCTCACAGATCTGTCGTTTGTATATTGGAAAGAGTATTTCACAACTGCAAACTAAGAGCATCCTTCTAAACTTACAGACTGTGTAATGGGATATTTTATGAGAGATCAAGATAAAGCCACTCTGGAGGATGTAGACGGAAAAAAAAATATAGGACAGGGTGCTTTCAGCCAGATGAGACCATAATGTAAGACTAACATTACTTTGAAAAGTGATAGGGATGCTTTTCATCAGGAGAACCAGTGGAACTGGTCAGAAAACTGCACCTCCATGGAGCAATATTCTTGGAAATCTAGTAAATACACCTGCTAGAGGCTGCAAAAGCCTTGAGAATGTGAGGAGGGGGTGGAGTCATCTGATTTTTCATTTGGAGAATCACCCTAACCATACAGACAGAACTACAATGAAATCATCCGAATCAAAATGTTAAAATCTGATTAATATGTTGGAATTGTCTAGTCCATTGGTCTGAAGCTTGTTTAATTTGAAAGGCCACATTTCCCACCAAGGCTACAAAATATGTTATTTGTTTCCCCCAAGAGCCATAATAAACATTTACCTTAAACTAAGATTTTCTATTGTTCTTTTTTCAAAACTAAAAAGATAATGTATCCTTTTCATAAAGAAAACACTTCAAGCTGAAAGTGCTATCATAAATATGAAAAATGAAGAACAATAGTTTGTTCATCTAAGAATATATATATATATATATATATATATATATATATATATATATATATATATATATA